TCATTGCAGGGTTGTGTGTTTGAGCCCCACATTGGGCAAAAGATTCCTGAATTGCAGGGAGTTGGACTAGTTGACCCTCATGACCCCTTCCAACTCTACAATTCTGTGATTTTTAGCTCTATGATAATCTTGCTGACTATATGCTTGCCCGAGAAACAGAGGCAGCATGCCGGAGGGTGCCAGTTGCTGGCCAACAGCAGGAGTGCTTTTGGCCTTGTGTCCTCCATGCCGGCTTCCCAAGATGACTGGAGGGTGGACTAGGCAAGCTGTATGCCAGCTCCCTCAGCCAGTAAAGTGAGATGAGCGCCGCAACCCCAGAGTCGTCCACGACTGGACCTAACGGTCAGTTACCTTTACCTTTAAGCTCCATTGAACTGAATAGGTGTAAGAAAATATGAGTAACAGAGAAAAAGACAGAGTGGAGGGTAGCTAATAAAGAACGTGACATCTCTGGTCCTCACTTTCTTTATAACAGCATGAATAATACTAATTAGACACAGAGATAAGATGCTATCAGACTTTCGTATCATTTTATGTCGCATTCGACATGTGTAGGTGTGTAGGTTCTCTGGAAGTGACGTAATTCATTTGCTCATTTATTACAGAGAATCCTGGTGACGTCCCTGCCAAAGCACTGAGTTCAATAGTTTAAGTACATCTGGTGAGCAAAAATAAAATCGTTCACCTTCTGCTAAGATAATAATAAATTATTATTTGTATGCCGGCCATCTGACTGGGTTGCCCCAGCCCCTCTGGGTGGCTCCCAACAGAATCTTAAAAACACCAAACATTAAAAACTTCCTGAAAAAGGGATGCCTTCAGGTAGTAGTAGTAGTAATATATTTATACCCCGTCTATCTGGCTGCATTTCCCCAGCCACTCTGGGTGGCTTCCAACAAAATATTAAAAATACAATAAAACATCAAACATTCAAAACTTCCCTAAATAGGGTTGCCTTCAGATGTCTTCTAAAATTCAGATAGTTGTTTATCTCCTGGAAATCTGATGGGAGGGCGTTTCACAGGGCGGCTGCAACTACCGAAATGGAGAGGCATTTCTAATATTCTCAAAATTCAAATGGCATCCGAAAGGCTAAGTAGTTTACTTGCAAACAATGTAGTAACGTGGCTTCTACACCTTGTACACAGGGGTGGCTATTCTTCCTGACAGATGCTTCTTCTCCAATGCATGCTTCCTTTGCCTGTGGATTGGGGCTAATACCGATAAATAAACACTTAAAAGGGGCCTCACAAGTTATTTTGATGCATGGGGTGGGGTAATTTCTCAACAGGGCCATTCTGTACATGAAGCGGACTAAGGCAGCCGCCTCAGGAGCAGAGGCATAGCGTGGAGGGCCAGGGAGGCATGACCCCGGGTGCAAATTTCTGAGAGAGTGTAACTAGGCACTCCCAGGACAGGCTCCTACACTGAAGCTGGAGCTGCAGGGAGTCAAGCTGTATCTGGCCCAGGCCTTCAGGACTGGGGCAGCAGTGGCACCTCCTTCTCCTCATGGCCAGTGAAGGGAAGCCTGCACACTGAGAGGAAGGGAGTGGGAGGGCAGCAGCAGCACCCTCTGAGGATGGAGGAAGGAAGAGGAAGGTGGAAAAACACTGCTGGAGCTAGGTGCATTGCCTAAAGCACCTTGCCAGAAGGATAGGAGGGCGAGGCAACACAGCGGCACACTTGGCTTCGCATTTCTCTGGCTTATCTCTGCTTCCAGGTCAGGGCTAGTTTTCAAGGAAAGACTCCCTTGATTAGATGTGGGCCAGTAAAAGGACTAACCACTGCCCAGTCCACCAGAGGGGAGCAACACTTGCTCCGTCCCGGAAGCCAGCAACCCATGCTACACCACTGCCCAGGAAACAGAATGCAAGGGAAGTAGTGGTGGTTGCTTCCGGGTTCCCCAAGAGCCCTGTGAGATCTCATAGAGGCCTCTCACATCCTTCCCAAGGCCCCAGTAAGTGAGGCGTTCTACCTCGCTCACTGGGGTCTCAGGAATCTCGTGTGAGGCCTCTGGGTGTGTCCGCAAGACGCTGTCATGGGGCTCTTGCAAGATCTTGCCAGAAGCCACTGACCAACCCCCTGAGGCAGAGAGACAGGACAAGGCCACTCCTGTCACTCAAATGTCACTCTCTTTGTTTGTTTTCATTTTCATTTTGTCTTGATGCCTTAATCTGGATACTTGGGTATCGGTGGAAGTTTCGTTTGCAGAGGGAAGAAAAAGACTTGATTGCAACAGAAACATTATATCTGAGAGACAGCAAAAGCTATCCAAGGGGAAAGGTGACACCAAATGAAAATGAACTGGCAAGCGGGTTTTCCTTGACTCTAAACTCCCCACTTCTGCTTTAAAAGACAAACTACCTATGGAGGTTTTGATGTGAAAAGAAGAAATCCACAGAAAATGCACCTCAACATTATTAAAATGTGTCTGGCACCTTAATTGTTTGTAGGCTTTCCTCATGTGCTGAAGATTCACTTCTTTACCTGGCCTTTGACACTAATTTTATATATATATAAAATTTCTAGCTGTGTTTCTCATTTGTTATCAATTGTTTTTATTGCTGTATTTTATTATTGCTGTAATCCTGCTTGGGACTGTCTGGTAAGGGTGAAGTGTGGAATGAGCAAGTTACACCAGAGTATCTTCAGCTGAGCTGGGATTGAGCCAGGAATCCTAAACTGCTCAACCCAGCAGATCTTGCCATAGGAATGCCCCCTTAGTCTCTTTTTTTATTATTTTTATATGCAGTGCTTTTTTCCAGGGGGTACTCAAGGGTACATAGTACCGGCACATATTTTTGTTGTTAAAAAGTGTGGCATTTACTGTAACAACTTCATGGTGAGTACTGGCACCTTTTTTTTTTAACACTGTTTGTTTTGTGGTTGGTGTTTTTAAGAAAATGCTTAGGTCATTGGACCTATCAGGAATCTCTCTCTGGTGTTATGTTTATTTGTTCATCTGGAGTATCAGCTTTGTCTCCTCCCCTGGGAAAAAAACCCTCTGTGGATACCCATGTTTGTGGGTGGGGAATCGGGGATATGATCTTTCAGCCTTCCTTTTGTCGAAACTTGTGAAAGCCAAACCAGTAAGACTTTCTTTCTATGTGTTAAAAGACCATATGTTATTCTTTGGATTGGGCAAATCGCCTTCGTTGTGACATCAAAGGAAGAGCAAGGCAACTATTCCATTCGCCCTGCAAATTATTTAGCAGATATGCAGGAACTGCTTAAAAATAATTTAGCCCCCCCCCCCAGCAGAACTGGACCCTATCATCATAATTTCACCTCTGCCCCCACAACTTGTATAATCTGTGTTACAGTTAGACATACTCCACACTGTGATTTTTAGGTTTCTTTCAAGTCCACAGGACTTTCAGTGGGTGGGGGAAATTGTGACCCATGATCAAGTTCTCAACAAAGCATGAAAAGGAGAAACATAAACTGATGTAAGAAGGAGGAGGAATTTAAACCTGGTTCCTGAGAGTTTACACTGGAAATGGGAAAACACTTAAGGAATAATGCCTTCCACATGGTGATAGCCACTATAATTAAGTTATTTTAAGTTCTCATCTTTGCCTTCTAAAACAAAGTGACAAGCTGTTGATGGCAAGGTATAGATAAACATCAGTTTCGTTACAGAAGTGGGTTTTTTATTTTTTAAAAAATGCTGCTGTTATCCTCACTGTTCTTATTGGTTTGACTTTTTCCTTTATGTTCTGCATAAGGAACACATGCATTTTATAAATGAATAAGCTATGCAGCTTGAGAGTGAAGCCCTTTGCTTTTAACACAGCTCTCAGAGAAATCAATGAGATGGAGGAAAATTGAGCGGATTGGTTTCTCATTCAAAAAGGAAGTTGATATTTACCGTAGTTACAGGCCGCCGTCAATCTAACTAGTAATCTGTGGGCGGTGGTTTTCTTTTCCTGAAAACTGTTTTATGAGGTGTTTCCCCACCTCCATGCCAGTGACAAATGCTGATGTAAACAGCATAGATCTGCCAATTTGAAAGGCCACTGAATCTTCTGTTCTTTCCATAAATCTGTCGAAACATAGGGACTCATAACCTAAAGCCCCTGCAGGAGCTACAACATACCAGTCAAAGTTAAAAACTTCAAGTTCCATATATTTCAATGGGAGAATTAAATACCTACTTAATACTCTCCCATTGAAATCAAACTTTGGCTGGACAGTGTCTGAGGTTTTCAGCAATAGACCCATCACAGATCGATTGGACAAATCCCAGAATTGGACACAGTATCCCAGGTATGGTCTGATCAAGGGAAGGGACACTCTATTCTGTCTTGGTCAGATCACACCTGGAATACTGTGTCCAATTCTGGGCACCACAATTTAGGAAGGATGTTGTTGACAAGCTGGGAGAATTGGATGCTAGATTAGATGGTCTTTCTGTCTTATCTAGCAGGAATCTACTTACATTCTTATGAGCTGCTAAAAGACTTGAGATAAGATTTCAACAGCAGGAAGAAAGTAGACCTCAAGAGGATATAAGCAGAATTTGAACAGAAACAGGAAGTTGTTCAGAAGCCCCCACCCCCTTTTAGCCATTGATGTGTTTGAAAGCAACACTGGGAAAGAGACTAAAAATTCATCACTTTATTTTACAATATTACATTTCAAACAATGTCTCAAAAATCCAGCTTTCTTTTTTCCACTATTAATAGTACATTTATAGCTCTGTTCTACTACTAGCCAATACAGTGGTACCTCGGTTTACAAACTTAATCCATTCCGGAAGTCCGTTCTTAAAGCGAAAATGTTCTTAAACTGAGGCGCGCTTTCCCTAATGAGGCCTCCCGCCGCCAGTGCCCTTCCACTGTTCAGATTCCGTTCTTAGACCGAGATAAAGTTCTCAGACCAAGACACTATTCCCGGTTTTGCAGAGTTTGTAAACCAAATTGTTCTTAAACCAGACTGTTCTTAAACCAAGGTACCACTGTATTCATAACCAACTTGATCCAGTAATTCTATCTGTTCTACCTTCCTCGGCTGCTCCTGCAGAAACTAGACAAAATAAAAGCTTGAAACTAAATACTCTGAGCACACCTGTGATCCCAAATACTTAAAAAAAGGAAGTTTCGTTTAAGAGCTATGGAACTTGCTTAAAAAAGAAATGTGGTTAGAAATTGTAAACACTGCACCTCAAGACAATACAGAAGGCATGATCCAACCAAACCCAAATAATTTTGAGATTTAAGCTTTTGCTTAAGGGCAAACTCAACATTACACAGAAAGGTCTGTTATATCACCCTGACCTCTTTTAATTGGCAAGCAACTTCAAATTGATGAGCAGATTTTGAACCGAGGGTGGGTGAATGCAAACAGAGTTTCTCATCCCTTTTTTTGGCATCACTTTTTCTGCTCAAAATTCCTTCTCCCCAGTGTCTTTTCTCCCCAATGTGTTTCACATAGAAGCAGGGCACATATGTGGAACAGTGTGGGTAGGGCAGTTGGAAAAGGGTGGTTTTGCTTGAAAATAGTAAGCAGAAAATAGATTCCTTGGCTCAAAACTGCAGTCTTCCAAAGTTCCTTTGTGTTTAAATACAAACGAATATTGCAGCCCATTGAAATAATACAGGTATCACTTTTCTGGATTCTGGGACACGGCTATTTGCATATATCACATTTGCCAAAGCCATTTCCAACTGTGGTTTCCATACATTTCCCCCAAAAAGTATTGGCAATCCTAAAACAAATTGCTAACGTTGAGCTTCCTTCCAATGCTAAAAATACCCCATAAGATAAAGACACTGCAAAAGCTCAATTTGCATAAATGAATCAGTAGGAAAAAGCACTCCCTTCTGCCTTGGATATTCAAAACACAATTTGGTTCTTGGTAACCTTTGCAACTCCTTATAGTGAAGACTAGGCTGTATACAGAAATATCTTGGAAATCAAAATTACTGCTCTTTCCTCCCATAGCTCAGGTCTGAGTTCTTATGCCTGTAAAAGTCATTTGAAAGATGTACTGGACAGCAAACTGAACGCTACTAGTTCAGTTGGCCATCTTTCCCATTCTTTTCTACTATGGGGGGGGATTTCACCTTTTTAAAAAGAACCCTCTTAAAAAACAGCAAGAGTGTCCATTCAGTTGAAAGTTGCTTCAGTTCCTTATCTGTAGGAGAAAACACGCACACACAAAATGCTCATGCTATGGAAACCTGTATGCCACCTTAGATAAAAGTGTTTGAATCCAGTCTGAAGTAGTTCACAGCACGCACCAGCGTTTTCCATTTATATATACATTTATTCCATAGTTGCCACTGAAGTGCTTTCTGTACCACTTGGAAATATGTTCTATTCAAATCAATAGGACTGTCCTCCAAGTAATGAATTATGAACCAGTGTGCTATAAACATAGATCTCACATTGCCTTGTATGAGAAAAAGATGTAGTCATCAAGCCTTTGAAAACTAAACACAAGCTGCATTTCATAAGTGGAATTCAGAAATAACATTTCTTTATACAACTAACAAAATAAAGGGGAGGGGGCTGCAAGCAAAAAAAAGGTCTGTCACACATGAGAGAGAGAAAGAGAGAGAACGTGCTTGTTTGCTGAATGGATCAACACCACAAATGTATATGTCTGAAAAGAACCAAACATCTATGCAGCGCCTATCAATTTTTCAAGCTGAATAAGATTAATAGTACAGTCATAGGCATGTTTACTCAGAAGTAAGTCCCGCAATGTCAATGGACCTTACTCTGTAGTAAGCATGATAAAGATTGCAGCCTAAATACATCAGGAAAAAATGTGCCAGGTGATGGGACTAGCTATTTAGGAGAAGGAAATGGATATTATATCCCAAGGCATCATGCATCTTTAAGATGTATAAATTCAGGGGGTGGGGGTTAGAACATCGGTCTTCTGCCAATTGTATAAAAATATACAATTTGTCCCTGATTAGAAATTCAAGTAGAACACATTTTTAATTTTAATACTTCAATGAAGGAAAAAACACACACCTACAAATAGTTTTTAAGGAAGGAAGGGATCTTGATGACTATTTCCTATGATTCATTAGAATATGCTGCTTTGATACTGACATGTCTGATCAAGCAAATAACCAATAACCTGAAATTTCAGTCCTTCCTTTACTTTTAAAATTAAAATAGTGATGGAAATAAAAACAACATGGAGGTAAGGGTGGGAAGTCAAAACATTAAGGAAAATGTGTGTTGAAGTTGATTTGTGTCTTTTTGTTTTGCTTTTTTGAAATTCAATAAATTTTAATATTAAAAAAGGAAATCACTTGTGGTCACATAGTTACTTATGTAACCGGAGCCCTTAACTCTGTCCTGAATGAGTGCCAATGTCTGTCAACATTATCACTCAGAAGAAATAATTCTGACAATAAAGTCAATTGTGAATCTGTCCAAAAACTGTTTTGAGTGCTTAGATGGCTCATATTAAACTATAGTGCGCTTGTGAGTTCACAATCGGTTTGTATATAGATTTACACTGATTCGTCTTAAATCCTGTGCAAACATGTGTTTCACTCTTTGGTAACTGTTTTTTAAAATGCCTGAGGCTGCAGGACTATACATAAGTACCCTAGGAGCAGGTACTACTGAACTCTCAGTAGGCATGTATAGGATTGCACAGCAAATCCAGCAGTTATTGGAAAGAAGCTTTGACTGCTTACTAAGCATTAAATGAGCTTTATGAAAATGACATATAATGGCATAAATAACATAGCATGATAATAAAACATTTATCCTAGGAATAATCCTGATGCAGAATGTGCTGCGCATGTCTATTTTTCAAAAGAGCGACAATATACATTTTTTTAAAACGTGAAAAAATGTCAGAAATTATAGTTCTTAAAAAAAACACAACCATACACCTGTACACTGCAACTTTCTTTAAAGACTATATAGATGTTTTTGAAATAGTATACTTATAAAAATTACAGAATAATTCCATTTCGTTGAATAATGTGCTTTTGTGTACCCCCTTATATCTTAAGTAAGCTGCTGCTTCGGTCTAGGAATTCTTGCCCTGAGATATCTAATCAAATAAATAATTAAGAGTCTGAAATAAGTTCAAGTCATCTATAAGACACTGCCTCCCTTTAAGAACATGTAAACATAGGAAGTATTTTGTCAGTTTCCACCGCTAACCCCAGTGTTAGAATCTGAGGTACAGCAATCCAAAAAAAGGAGGGAGGAGAGCATGTGTCCATTGTAATATATTTTTAGGCTTGACCACAACCATTCTTTGAACTTAATTGTTGTTGTTGTTCTTTTCCCAGGGGAAATCCAAGCATTTACTTATAACATGTAGCTGTGAACCAACGATTCTTGCATTAGGCATAACATCCAACACGATGCTTCAAGGCACCGATTTTCACATGCTTATTCTGGAACGGAGGAATGGTGGAGAGCTCGATGGTAGTCTTCTGAACTGGTGACTTGTTCTGGTATATCATAGCCTCTTAGAAAAGGTCCGGTGTTTTGCTGTGCAAAGTAGTATAGCTGCCTTGCAAACATGGGCTCAACCTTAACAGATAGAAAAGTTAATGGGACACATAGCCAGATGGTCTGATTCATTCATATTGAATATATATATTAATCATGACAAGTCAACGGAGTTCCTCATTAGAAAGCATTTCATTTGTGTTCTATCTAGTTTTATCAATTCCAATGGACTTGCTGAAGATACTGAAGTTTATCAGCACATGCTTCTTTACAGTAGCAATCATATACAGTGGTACCTCAGGTTACATACGCTTCAGTGTCCTTACAGCTAACGCCTTTCATCCTCCTTTATTTAGGGCTATTTAGCCTATAATTCACAAAGCTGTTAAGCCAGAACATCAGTGCACCAGTCGCCTAAATGGCTTAATTAGGTTGTGAATCAGGTTGTTAATTATGCGTTCTATTATAAACAATACTAAGAAACATTCAGCAGAAGAATTAGCTGTACAAGATCACATTATTTGACCAAGGTAATCTTGGAGAAATAAGATAATCTATGTTTTGAGCTTCAGCGTAAGTTGTTTCGAAGTACGCGTAATACCTGCAATTATCATATGAGTTACAGTGGTACCTGGGGTTACAGGTGCTTCAGGTTACAGACGCTTCAGGTTACAGACTCTGCTAACCCAGAAATAGTACCTCGGATTAAGAACTTTGCTTCAGGATGAGAACAGAAATCGCACAGCAGTGGCACGGCGGCAGCGCGAGGCCCCATTAGCTAAAGTGGTGCCTCAGGTTAAGAACAGTTTCAGGTTAAGAACAGACCTCCAGAGCGAATTAAGTTCTTAACTCGAGGTACCACTGTAACTTTGTCCTGAAAGCTGTGTGTCAACGTAGCACTGAGAGACTCCTTGCATGAGTGGATTGACTTCTGCCTGCACAACGGGACTCCCCCCTGTCCTCCCCCCCCCTTTGCCCGCCAAATCTGTTCTCTCTGGAGCATATTTGGGGGGGGGGTGCTGGGCATGTGCAGGGGAAGGAGTGGGGAAATCCCATTGTGGGTAGAAATAATTTTACTCGTAGATTTGATACCACCCTATGTTTGGTTGCAGGTCTTTCTCTCTCTCTCTCTCTCTCTCTCTCTCTCTCTCTTTTTACAATTTCCGCTGCAACAATCAACTGTAAAAGTTGATAATGTAAGGAAGATTTAGCTCTTATTGCAACTGATCAAGTAGGCAATTCACATAGTGAAGAGGAATAACATTTCAAACATCCCTGCCACTCCCTTTGTATGCCTATGTGGAGTTTTTGCTATCTCCAGGGCTCTGCAGGAGCTCCATACTTTTAGAAAGTCCATGTTCAACAAGGGGAAATATATTTTTGTCGTCATTCATGGTAGGCAGTAGATGTTTCAGGTCAATGTTAGTCCAAGACACATAAAGGATCTCAGACCTGGTATGTTCTGAAGCCTGCGCTTGCACATGTGTATAGGCTTCTGTGTACGTGAAACTGTAGTAGAATGCTGGACAGCGCCATGCCTGTTTCTTAGAAACAAGTCCTGCTGATTTCTATGGGCCTTGTTCCTAGTATGTGTGTACAGTGGTACCTCTGGTTACGTACTTAATTTGTTCCGGAGATCCGTTCTTAACCTGAAACTGTTCTTAACCTGAAGTACCACTTTCGCTAATCGGGCCTCCTGCTGCTTCCGCCGTGCATTAGGACACAGAATGCAGGAAGCACTTGGTAAGTGGGAGGAGGGAATCACTATGGAAGTAAGGGGGTGAGATTTCCACTCATCCACTGTGCTCAAAGCATTATTTATTACAGCTTTGTAGAATCCTACAAAAACACCAACACGGCGCAATGGGTGACAAGCCAAAAGGCCCCTCTTTATAGTTCATGTCTAGTTTATTTAGCGGTATTGAAATAAACTGTGAAATAAACTGTGATTTCCAATTTCAGAATATTTGAATTGTTGTAACGTTTAGCTTAAATCAAAAGCGTAATCACAGATGTGAATCACTCAGAAACTGGTGTTGCATATTTCCAGGCGATTATCATACTTAAGGAAGTTTCAGATATACTGTACTGCCTAGCTGTAAGAGTGGTGATTTACCTTTCATTTCAATGCTCCTTTTCAACCTTATTTGAATACATTGGATTAACTTAATTCACTTTAAGCATTCACCTTACCCCCTTTAATATATTTGCATGCCCCTAGTTTCAAGCAAATCAAATCGTTTATACTTACATGGGCTGTAATTTGTTTTCTTTGCCTTTGTGGATCTGGAAACTCTTCACCGAAACACAACACAATCTGGAATCTAGGCAACGGCCTCCCATGGTGGGCAAATACTTGTAGTTCTGGAAAGCCAACAGAAAATACTCAAGCTATTATGTAGGACTAAACTTCAGAGCTATGGCAGAAAAACAAATATCATGGGAAATCAGCCTATATTACTGATCAAAAGAATCTGCGGCAATGAGGATGGCAAAAGACCTAACAAAATCTAGAATCCAAATCAGTACATATCTGCAGCATCCTATCCAGCAATGTTAAAAATTGTAAACTTCTCCATCTTTCCGATCAGGTACATAAGCATAATAAAATTTCTCTCAATTTGGCAGAATGTTACTGTTTCCAGTTTATTGAGTGCTTCCAGGTATGCCATGGTTGTCTGTATTTACCCTCAAGCTGGGATAAACCAGAGCTGGCTGGCCTTCAGAAAAGACCCCAGATTTTAGAGGAGAACCTCTAAAATATGTATGGAGAAGACACAAGTCTCCCACATGCCTTTAGCGGAGTTACAATTTATAATTTTTTCACTCAAAATTGTATAACTGGGGGTTTATGGGGATTTTATAATAAAGACTATTGGAATCCAAAAAGGAAAATCTATAAAATGGTGCTTCCATTTTGTTTTAAAAAAACCAAACCACTAAATAATCTGCTTAAAATATTCCACTTTCAAATTTGCTGTAGATAAGAAATGTTTATTTCAGTCCAGATGTTTCTATATCCAGTCCACATATCACAGTCTCTAATTAAGCAGATGTGTTTATATTAGCCCATTTGATCTCACCAAAGTAAAACCTGAAGCTGCACAATGTTATTTTCATTGCAAAACAGCCAGTGTTGTACATACTAAAAGTTATACATACTGTACAACTGTAAGTGTTAGCACCCTGGACACCAAAGACTAAAGGAGCATTTAAGAATGCAGATAAGATAAGGGGGGGAAAACCTTCTGAAATATTACACCACTGACTAGCAGGCAAAAAAATGTGTGTGAGGAGCATTATTAGCCGACAGTAGGACAACTGGTGAGTTGACATTACATTTCTCAAGTGAAGGCTAATTAGAAATTTTTAGCAAATTAGGTAATATTTCAGCTCATGCTATGGTCAAATAGAGGGAATGTGTATCCAACTCCTTCTGAAACCCACTGCTATGACAAACGAAGAAGCTTGCATCACACAACCTACAAGGACTGTAATATACATACCTGACAAAAACTGCTGAGTATCAAAAAGTTTGCATGTCTGCTCCCTTTCCAATTTGTTAGGCCTGTCGTTGCAAAATGCCAGAGGCCCATCCCAATAGATCCTGCTTTGGCAAAGTCTCTTAGCATAGAGTCCGTCAGGTGTCATCCAGAGTATTACTCCCCTTTCCAGGTGGCTTAAGGATTTTTCAGTTATTTTCCTCTGGTTGTGATCTTCTGGATAAGGGAAAAGAACTTGGTCCAGCCCGCTGACCTCATAACTTTGGCCATGAGATATTCTGCACCCCTCAGGACTTGAAGTAGTGACTTCTTTCACAAGAGTTTCGTGGTAATATAGACAGATGTGCAGTCGACAATCTGAAAGCATATTTATGCAAAATTGTTGTTAACCGTTGGACACCAGACAATGGCATGTCATGTAACATCTACGAGGAAGCTAAGAAGCATTGAGGTTGAGTTGCACATAGCATCTCGGAGATGTGGCTTCAAACCACTTTTCAGTGGCAGACTTTGAACCTGAGAATGCATATACAATTTAAAATACACTTGCTAGGAAATTAAGCACAGTGGGACTTAAACATGTGTAAGATTGTGCCACACAGCAGATTAGCTGGGGAAATGCTGGTTGTGAGGGTATTGGCATAGTGATTCCTATGATTCACTGAGTTGAGCTATGACTTGTTGGCCAAGTCAAAAGGCAGGCTACTTGATAACTGATAGGTAGCTGTTCCATTGGGTTTTTTTTGGTGGTGGAGCATTGGAACAAGTAATAAATATGGCTGCTGTGCTGTAGGTACGGGCAGCAAGAGCTACAGTTAGTGAAATCAGCCACCCTTACACCAAGATAACACACCTACAAACACGCCACTAAAAATTAACTTTGTGCAAATGCTTAAGCGGTACGGAATTCTTGTCAACATGTACATTAATGGGAATTGACTAGTAGTTGTGCATGAACATCAGTCATAATGTACACTCACATGACAGCATGGAGAAAGTTTACCAAACAATCAACAGGGAATGTTACAGCCGACGGTATGAGTCGTTGCCAAATGATTTGGGGGGAAATTAACTGATCAGTTGTACTTCAATGCCTGGTTAATGTGCAACACCTCCACATATGTTTCACTGATCGCCTGGGTAATCCACATAGTCCCCGACAGGATAATTTTGTTTATTTAAATATTTATATGCGGCTCTTCAGTGGAACTTCCATAGCAGTTTTCAAAAATAATATAAAATATTTACCAACCAACTAAAGAGAGGAAAATATAGTCAAGTGTCTGGGATCCTTTGCTTGACACTGAAAGGATAACATGGTTGGTGCTAGACAGGTCATCCTTGGGAGAGAACTCCACAGATAGGAACTTCTATTGAGGAGGAGCTCTCTCTGGTTGCTTCCTGCTTTGACTGGCCAATAAACACACCACCTTAATTGACTTTGGCCACCTTTTTCCAACATCATGTGGAACCCGGGCACATTCACTAGGCATTGCCCAAATTCAACGCATATTGACTGGGCACTGCACAAAATTCCTTGTTCATGTTGTCTGTGAACATTCTCCACACTTCATATATATGTGCACAACCAACATGTATGCACACCCTGTATTCACCTTACATTTTTTTAAACCAAATCAGAGAACCAAACATTGATGGAAATTTCACAGTTATCCTCTCATTTGAGCTCACGGGGAAAGGGTGTGTGTGTGTGTGTGTGAAAGTTATGAGAGGGCTCTCACGAATTCATTGCTACTTGCCAATTGTTGAATTATTTATATACCTGACAATGGAAGAGCTTCACCAGACCTTATGCTCGGCTCTATTGGCATCCCAGGAGTCTGTGCCTCGGGTGGCGCGCAAGCGTAAAAGGTTCCAGTTACCTGACAACCTGCTTTCACAAACAAAAAGTTTCTGTTCACAAACCATGCTGCCAAGTGGTCCAAAATCCATTGAAGGCTTTCCCCATCCAGTCTGAGAAATTCCCCTTCCATTTCGACCTGAACACATTTTGTTTGTTTGTTTATATGCTGTCTTTCAGCAGAGCTCCCAGGTAGTTTACGAAAACCTTGGCAGATGCTTCCCTTCTCCTGGACTCTGGGTGTTTTGGCTGAGTTTGGAGGGCCTTGTCTGGCTGCAGAGATGGATCCCTTGGTGCTTCTGTACTTCCTCACACTAAGTGGTACCTCATGGATGCTTTAAACCAGCGGTTCTCAATCTGTGGGTCCCCAGATGTTGTTGGACTACAACTCCCATCATCTCCCTGAGCTCTGGCCTTGCTAGTTAGGGGTGATGGGAGTTGTAGTTCAACAACATCTGGGGACCCACAGGTTGAGAAAGGCTGCTTTAAACCATTGCATGACTCCAGAAGAGGCATGGCACTGGGATTGACTTCAGGGGCTTATTTTCTAGTACAGTGGTACCTCAGGTTACATACGCTTCAGGTTACAGACCCCGCTAACCCAGAAATAGTGCTTCAGGTTAAGAACTTTGCTTCAGGATGAGAACAGAAATCGTGCTCCAGCAGCATGGCAGCAGCAAGAGGCCCCATTAGCTAAAGTGGCGCTTCAGGTTAAGAACAGTTTCAGGTTAAGAACAGACCTCCAGAATGAATTAAGTACTTAACCCGAGGTACCACTGTAAATGTGTTTAGTATCTTGCTCCTCCAAGGTGCTCAAAGTGGCACATGTGGTTCTATCCACTTTATTCTCATAAAAGCCTTATGGGGCAGTGGTGCCAACTTGGACCCCAGACTGTGGGTGCCCAGCGTATGCATGCTGTGATGTCATAATGTGACGCTGTGATGCTGTACCACAATGCAATGTTATGGCGCATGTGTGCTCTGCTGCCGCAGTGGCAACTGGGCCAGGGCCTGCACCTTTGTCGCAGGGCCTCTATTGGGGCCTGCTGCAGCAGTAGTCGCACTCTGGAAGCATGTCTGCAGCTGCAATGGGCCCCAACAGAGACCCTGCGGCAAAGCACAGGGCCAGTTGCTGCTGCAGTGCCACAGCACCAGCGGCAAGGCAGCAGGTGGCATGGGCAGGGGGCAGAGGCTGGGCACCCACAGCCAAAAAAAATTATGGGTGTCTGGCCCCCATGGTCCCCTGGAATTGGCAGCACTGCTATGAGGCAGGCCAAGCTGGGAGATAGTGACTGGTCCAACGTCACCCAGTAAATTTTCTGGTGGAATGGGAATTTCAACCTGGGTCACTCTGATCCTAGTTCAGCCCTCTAATTACTACATCACACAGGCTTCCAGCCTTAGAGTGAAGGAGGATTTAACATTTATACAGCATTGGGAGCAGTATGGAATGCTTTCACTAGATTGCATCCAATTCTACTTGTCCTTCTTAGGCTAAGCACTGAAAAAGAAAAAGAAAAGCAAGAATGCCCAGTTATGCAAGTTTAAAACTAAAACCTACTTTGCATAGGATCAGCTGGCTTTGTGATGTCACAGAGCTAGGAAAACCTCAAGGGGGTTCTTCAGGCATTCAGCTTTAATGATTCATGGTTAGGATTGAAAGAGATGCATAAGCATCTAAGTGATAAACTCTCCCACAGAAATCAATAGGACTTAAGAGAAGTGGTTGACTTGGGGGTGTATCATTGTGCCTTAAATATCTGTTCATTTATAATGTATCTTTGTATTGCGTTGAAATCAGCCAGATTCACTCATGGGCTAGTAGGTGCAAGAGGGAAGCCAAAAATTAATAAAGCAATATGTTTTTATTTGACAGGCTTCACTGAACACATTCCATGTTTATGAAGCACTTGGAGCAGCGATTGCCAATTTTGGAAACCTGAGTAATAGGCATTGGCACCGCACTGCAACCACACAGGCAGCTGGCATAGTTCATTTGGTACAGCATAAAACTCTTAATCTCACGGCCATGGGTTCGAGCCTGACGCTGAGCAAAAGATTCCAGCATTGCAGGGCGTTGGACTAGAGGACTCTCATGGTCCCTTCCAGCTCCACAATTCTATGATTCTATGCACACCCCATAGCCATGCATATATACATGCCCCACAACCATCCATTCACAACCCCATCTACCCTCCAACACTTTGGCTTGGAACAGTGTTCAGCCTTTTTGCAAGCATAATTTGTTTTTGGCAAGGGGAGGGGCGTCATCTTCCTGGAGAGTGCGGCTGAGCAGGAACTGGTTAACCCACTCCAGGAAGTTATATCTCTCTCTCTCACACACACACACACAGGCAATTAGGCTTGGGGGAAGCCTTCTATCATAGTATTTTATTTTATTTTTTAAAAAACTAATTGCAGGAGGGGAGGGTGATTTTTTTGGGTTGCAACAGAAAGGAAAGAAGTCTTCTTTCGGCCTGACTACAATGGGTGTGATGTGAGGAGGGGTTACTGTGGGCACCAGGAAATATACTGTGGGCACATGTGTGCTTGCATGTGCCATGTTGGTGACCCCACTCTGCAGAACAGGGGCGCCAACCTGGCTAAAATACAGGAGGATGCAGGTAAGCCCCACCCTACATAATTGATCACATGATGCGGTGCACACACCCCATTTGAATGGCAATGCCCATGAAATCTGGAGGGCCCTGGCCTCCTGAAATATTTTATTTTGGGGAGTCAAAGAGACCTCAGCCCCTAGGAGTTGGCTCTTATGCTGCAGAATAACATCAGTTTTGTCAACACTGAAAAGCTTTCATTATGTGCACCATCAGAAATAGGCCCATTTGACTTACCTACTTTGCCTGGTCCGTTATTCTGAATCCTCAAAGTGAAAGCACTCCACAGTCCTGTGGAGATTGCACCGTTTTCTTATACTGAGTGCTCATTGTAATGGAACTTTAGAACATGCTCCAAAGTTAACCACTTCTGCAAGTCCAATTGATTTCAGTGAGAGGGCTCTTGCAAGTGCTTGCCTATCCTTTAAATGACATTTTAAAGTCCTTACTTTTGGCTGCCTAATCTCATTCATACCATTGTACTTTCTTCCAACAGTGGAATGCACATATAGAGTTTTCCCACTTCCCAAGGTTTCCCCATTCATTTCAACAAAGAGGGGATGTTTACATACACAAAGTGCTGGATATACTGAGCAGTGTCTTCTAATGAAATGAATGAGGAAATCCACTTTACACCTTATTCACAACCACATGGACACAGCCACTGGGTCAGGAACCACAACTTCTTTCGCAATTTAAATAACCACCAGATACAGCTCTGTCTATAAACACTGGAATCTTCTTACCGTTCTGACATGCTGGGCTTTGCCAATGGTGGTTGCGAGCTGCAAAAGGAACACTTGCACACTGGTAGGAGATATCGGGGTGTGACTGCTCCGGCATATAGTCCCTCCAATTACGGTCATGAGACACCATGTAGCTTGGCACCTGCATGTTTAACGAAATATTACATAATGTGGTGGTGTTTTTTAATGCATTTTTTTAAAAAAGGTTTACCATCACAGTTCTAAGAAGGAGAAAGAAAACACATCAGCAAAGTATGTCAATTCACAATGCCATTTTGCAGAAAGCAGGTATGTGTGGCCAAAACCAATAATACAAAATAACAAAAGAGGACGGGGGAGGCATTGACAGATACGGCATGCAAGTCAGGCAAACAGCTCTGAGTAGGGGTCCAAGATCTCAGAATAGTTGTGATCCTCACAACTTCAGACAAAAGTAATGTTTTCATATGCTGCAGGAGAAGAAAGGTCCTCCGACCAATGAGCTCTCAAAGCAGCTGTGTGGTCCTTCCAGTGCTGTCAAACCAGTTACTTAGCCATGAATAAAGTGTGCAGGGTCAGTCTGTGGTGTCCCACACATCACATAATGGTTTTAAATTAAAGGGACCCCTGACCATTAGGTCCAGTCGCGGACGACTCTGGGGGTGTGGTGCTCATCTCGCTTTACTGGCCGAGAGAGCTGGCGTACAGCTTCCGGGTCATGTGGCCAACATGACTAAGCCGCTTCTGGTGAACCAGAGCAGCGCACGGAAATGCCATTTACCTTCCCGCCGGAGCGATACCTATTTATCTACTTGCACTCTGATGTGCTTTCAAACTGCTAGGTTGGCAGGAGCAGGGACCAAGCAAAGGGATGTCACCCCATCACGGGGATTCGATCCACCAACCTTCTGATTGGCAAGTCCTAGGCTCTGTGGTTTAACCCACAGCGCCACCCGTGTCCCCATATAAGTTATAGTCAATTGCAGACAGAATCTTCAGCTTTCCCACCCATCCTCATTTCTACATCCCATCCTCAAAATGTCCAAACACAAAATGCTCTCCAGAGTCTTGCGCAGTGTTCTCTCCAAAGCCTGCTACCAGAGATTATTTGAGTACAGGTGCCAGGGGGCAGAACATGGGACTCTATGCACACAAAAGATCTGTTTCACCACTGATCCTTAGGTTCTCCCCTGCAAATAATGAAGATACAGCACCCAAGGTCCCCTTGGAAGAGGAAGCGCACACAAAACTGATGCATTGGTGCACAGCCAGCGTTGTTAATTAAATTTTTTAAAATGACATTTACAGGGCGGTGTAAATATTTGAAATGTATGAAGATTAATACTTGGACAGCAAATGATGAAACAGATATGAAATGTAATAAGAGCTAATAGTATGGGTTCAAAAAAAATATCGAATCACTGCAACACCTATGAACTCTTTGAGAACATTCCTTAAGTTGTAGTTGTACTCTTTGGTACTCTTTTTCAATCTCACACTAGATCAATTAATGAAACAGCAATGGTATCAGTACATCTTCATCATTTGGCATCAAAGCTAAAATACATCCATATTATATATATATGTATTTATACATACCTGAGGTGGTAGTGCAGAGTAAGATGAGTTCATGGTGTAAGTATTATTCATAATCATTTGGGGATCTTCCATGCTAAGCTGTTTTGCTCCTGTGTATATAAAACAAGGAGATTTACGCATGCGTATCTTGAAGAACCTTGTGAGAAAAGTAGCTTGCACATTAAAAATGACATTGTTATTGCTTCAGTCTACTTCATAGCCATTAGGTTTCTTGGTACGCTATACAGATAGGGGATCAATATAGAAGTCTGTCACTGGAAAACTTTATCAGGATAAAAGACAACATACATGCAAAACACCCGAATTGTATAATTTATTTGCTTACAGAATCAGGCAGAACTGCATCAGTTATTTGAACCCTAGGTGCTTCTATTGTAAACCTATATAAACAAGCATTAGATTTTTAATTCACCAAACTTCATTGCTTAAAGTAATTATAGCGCTGTTGTATATCCCCACCCCAGCACCATCTCAATAAATGGGACTGTTTTGTATAATGCAAGCTTACCTTTCTTTGCTCCTTCTGGTACTATTCTGTACACTTTATAGGGGTCTGATATATCCAGCTGGCTTCTTTCAACAAGTTCTTCAAAGTCATTGCTCTTGTTCAAAGCACACCGCAGTCTTGTTTTCCAGGTGGGGGGATCCGGCTTATCAATGCCTTCTCTGAACTTCCCTTTAAACAGAGCCCAAGCCTGGAAATATTGATGGTGGTTAACATCTTGTTTTTAAAAACTCGTTTAAACATACCTATACTCAACAATATAAATAGCACGATACATGTGTTCATAATGGAAGTTCTCTGATGGCACTATCACTAGCTTTTCCCCTGCCACTATAGGATTTTCACTTCCCTAGGCATAGTTCAGCTACAAACCAAATTTCCAACACAATGCAGTTTTTCAGGACCCAGCAGAGAAGACTGCAGTAAAAGAACTAGATGTCATTCTAGATTCATAGTAGATATTTCAGTTCTACAGGAAGTATATAGACCCTGTGCCATTTGCAAAGGCTCTGTGCTATTTTAGTAAAGGTAAAGGGACCCCTGACCATTAGGTCCAGTCATGACCGACTCTGGGGTTGCAGTGCTCATCTCACTTTATTGGCCGAGGGAGCTTCCAGGTCGTGTGACCAGCATGACTAAGCCGCTTCTGGCAAACCAGAGCAGCACATGGAAACGCCATTTACCTTTCCACCGGAGGGGTACCTATTTATCTACTTGCACTTTGATGTGCTTTCGAACTGCTAGGTTGGCAGGAGCTGGGACCGAGCAACTGGAGCTCACCCCGTCGCGGGGAATTGAACCGCTGACCTTCTGATCAGCAAGCCCTAGGCTCTGTGGCTTAACCCACAGCGCTACCCGCGTCCCCGTGCTATTTTAGTTCCCTGCAAAACAGCATGGAGTAGCCACGACATGTTTTATTTCTTCATTTATGAATTAGATAGTTTCTATCCCACTGTTCCTCCAGTATGGAGCACAGGGCAGCTTAGAACAATAGTGTATAAAATGTGTGTGTCCGTGTGTAATTTTTATATAATAAAAATGTAATCCATTGAAGGATCTGTAGTGCTGCATCACAATTCTGAATTTGCATGAGGTCATGGTGGGATAGCTTGGAGGGACACTGAGAGGGGGGAAAGCAATTTTAAACAGTGGCATTGTATAAAGATACTTTGGAATATTTGAGGAATCAGTGTCCTTTATCTCTCTCGCCTGAGGCAGCTGAGGAATGGAAGACAGAGAAGTTTGAGTACAGCATGAAAGGAGAGACACTGAAAGTAAGGAAAGGTGGGTGCTTTAAACAACAGCAGAAGTTTCAGTAAAGCATGGATGGAGGAACACTGAGAGGAACAAAGTTGTGATTTTAAAGAAAGGCAAAAGTTTGAGCAGAGCAAGCGGGTGGGGGAGGAAGACAATGTGGGGGAGGAAGCAGTAGAAGAAGAAGAGAAGAGGAATTTGGATTTGATATCCCGCTTTACCACTACCTTCAGGAGTCTCACAGCGGCTAACAATCTCCTTTCCCTTCCTCCCCCACAACAAACACTCTGTGAGGTGAGTGGGGCTGAGAGACTTCAGAGAATTGTGACTAGCCCAAGGTCACCCAGCAGCTGCATGTGGAGGAGCGGAGCCGCGAACCCGGTTCCCCAGATTACGAGACTACCGCTCTTAACCACTACACCACAATGGCATTTTAAAGCAATATTTGAGTACAGTAAGAAGGGAATTTGGAAATGCTCTGTTGTGTTTTCTTTTTGCTGTTATCTTTTGTGTTGTACCCATCTCTGCTATTTCTTCTTGTTAAAATTTGTTTGTTTTAAAAAAGAATACCCTCACTGTCACTCCATCCCTGCTTTACTGCTGTTTAAAATCACCATTTTCCTCTCAGTTTCTATACACTCCCCACTTTACTCAAACTACTGCCACTGTTTAAAACAGCCGCTTCCCACCCCCCTTTCAGTGTATCTCCCTTCTCGCTGTACTCAAACTTCTCCCCCATCCATTCTTCAGCTGCTTCATGTGAGAGAGAAAGATCACAGAGCCCTGTGCAAAGGGGGTTTAGAATAGGAGAGAGGAAGCATGAAAATGAAGTGCTCTGTGTGCAAGGAAGAGTTGAGAAAAGTGAGGAGGAGGGTGGCAGGGAAAAAGGAATGAAGGTGATAGCTGGGATGCAGATGGAGGGTATGAGAGGAATGGGAATGGGGTTGAAGATGTAAATAGGGTCATTAAAAGTCTGCAGAATAGGAGGGGGTAGCTTCGTAAGACTCTTGAGAGTCCCATGGACTGCAAGAAGTTCAAACCTATCCATTCTGAAGGAAATCAGCCCTGAGTGCTCACTGGAAGGACAGATCGTGAAGCTGAGGCTCCAATACTTTGGCCCCCTCATGAGAAGAGGACTCCCTAGAAAAGACCCTGATGTTGGGAAAGATGGAGGGCACAAGGAGAAGGAGACGACAGAGGACGAGATGGTTGGACAGTGTTCTCGAAGCTACCAGCATGAGTTTGACCAAACTGCGGGAGGCAGTGGAAGACAGGAGTGCCTGGCGTGCTCTGGTCCATAGGGTCACGAAGAGTCGGACACGACTAAGCGACTAAACAACAACAGCTTCGTAACTGGGCAGAAGATGAAAAGGTTGCGATGTGGGGGGGGGGAGGGGAGGATGCAGAATGTTACCATGCAAGTGGTTTGTGTGCAAGGGGAGATTGTTGCACAAAAGGAAGGGGAGGTGAAGGTGAAAATGGGTGCAAAGCGGGACTGCACAATAGAAGACAGAAGTGAGATTGGGAAGGTGAAAAAGTGAGCATGAGGTGGGAAGCTCAAAGTCTAAGAGGTTAATGAGGGAATGGCAGGCAGTTGGTGAGTGGAGAAAGCAGGGGTGCAGTATTATAATAGATATATAAATCAGGCTGCAGTTCACCACCTATAAGCCTTCCTGTTTTCATTTGTGTATTCATTAACACATTCTTATCCCGCCTTGTTCCTCCAAGGAGCTCAAGGACACACTCCTCCCCTTCTCTGTATTATCTTCACAACAACACTGTGAGGTAGGTTGGACCGAGAGAGTGTGATTGGCCCAAAGTCACCCAGTTAAGTTTCAGGCCTGAGCAGAGATGCGAACCTGTGTCTAGTCCAGCGCTCTAACCACTATTTCACACTGGCTCTCAGAAAGATGTCAGAGGTTCTATGCAGGCAGAAGGAATGGCGGATTTTTTAGGACCTTAGGTATTTTAACCAAAGTCAGACTCATTGGTCCATCTGCTGTCTCCCCCAGCCCTACTTTGAGATGTCAGAGATCAAACCAGGAACCTTCTGCATGCAAAGTAGATGCTTTACCACTCAGCTATGGTCTCTCTGACTATATAAATAATACTAATGCAGCTATGGTGGCAGATGCGGTCTCAGCTTCTCCTAGTCTTTTCATTCTATGTGGCGCAGAGTTCAATAAGAGCCCTGCTTGCAGACAGCGCACGATGGGAGCAAGGATGTAAAAACACTCAATCTTTCATAACTGGGATGTGGAATGTGTGTGTGACCCTTTGGATGTGCTGTACAGTGGTACCTCGGGTTAAGTACTTAATTTGTTCCGGAGGTTCGTTCTTAACCTGAAACTGTTCTTAACCTGAATCACCACTTTAGTTAATGGGGCCTCCCGCTGCTGCCGCACCGCCGGAGCACGATTTCTGTTCTCATCCTGAAGCAAAGTTCTTAACCCAAGGTACTATTTCTGGGTTAGCAGAGTCTGTAACCTGAAGCGTCTGTAACCTGAGGTACCACTGTAGTCAGGAGTTATGAACTCTTGTTTCGTATCATGCTGAGGTGGAAATAACTTCTGCCAAGTCCAGTCTAGTCACTGGAATCTGCAGGTAGCTAAAAGGTAAAAACTATTTTCAAGTCAAGAGATGGCTTTTTAAAAAGACATGTCACAGTATGAGTTCAGTACAAAAGCTAAGAAAGCCATACCAACGTTTAACATTAAGGCTGAGTAATTAAGGAGGGAAGGGAAGGCGTTGCTTGTGGATTCAACCAGTAGCGCAAATGGTTGCTTTTAAAAATGAGTTACTATTAAAAGTAATTAGCTACATTCATTTTAGCAGAAATGGAACAGTGTTGCTCCAGGTAATGCTATTCAATAACAATCAACGGAAGGAGTTTTAGAAAGGAAGTCTTGCTAAACAGTTATTATGGTGCTTGCTGAAGTTTAATGACAAAGGCTGCAATCCTGTTCAAAATTGTACACAAGTTCCATTGATGTCTACAGAATGCAAGTTTGTGCAACTCGGAGCATCATTGCAGCCATAAAGAGTCACGCCTTGGGGTAGTTAATCAAATAAGGAAGAGGGAATTGTGGAACATGGATGGACTCTTTCAAGTGTGACAGGAAAGGAGCTTGGCTGGCATTTTAATTCAGAAGCATCTAGGATGCTAGTTGGGTAGAAAAGATAATTCCATCATTGATTGGTGATCATTCAATTTCTCTCTTAAAGTCGGAGAAAAGAAGTGCCTAAAATAAATGACCCTCCTAATTCCACTGTCCAGCGATTCTAATAGGGGCAGAGTCCAAGCTACCTCTTGGTTTCTTCAGTCTACACACAGTTTAGGGAACATCTCATATTTCTTTAACTAGTCACAGGTGTGCCTCTACTGCTAGGGAAAATGTACTTTCACTTGTTACAGGCTAAAGGACCTTGCGCCTTTGTGGGATTTGCCAGTGTGGATGAAAGTGGACAGAGGGTGGAGTTGGACCAATGAGCTCTAGGTTCATATCCCAGATCAGCCAGGAAGTTCACTGAGTGGCCTCAGCCAAACCTGTCTTCCAGTCCGATCTACCTTGCAGACTGTTGACAAGATAAAAGAGTCAATTCCATGTACCTTACCCAATGGTCCTAAATCATCTAACTGCACCTGACCCTAAATCTGGAACCAGTTCCACTTAAAAGCACGGGCCATTTCCAAGTAAATGTACACTTTGCTTCTGATGGGAGACTGGAGCCAAACTTGCGCAAGGAAATGCAAACAGCCCCTTCGCCTCTGGCTGAGATCCAAGCCACTGGATCGCGAAATCTGGCGCGCGCCTGAACTGGGGCGAACCCCTTACCTTGAAAAGAGCGGCGTCCTCCTCTCGATTGTAGTCCTGCTTGCCCGCGTGCTTCCAGGGGATGCGGAAGATGCTCTTCTCGTCGTTCTCCCACACCAGGCCCGGGTACTTGCCGCTGTCAATCTGCTCGATCAGCCACTGGCGGAGTTTCCCGTTGCCGCAGCTCACCGAGCTCATCCCGCCGCCGCCGCCCTCGCTGGTGCTGTGGATGCCGCGCTCGCCCTCCAGATTCATGCCACGCGCCCAGCCGACGTCGCCTGCTCCGGCGCCTCCCCTGCTGATGGGAGGGAGAAGGGTCACGTGCCATGCGCCAGACACGCGTGCGCGCGCTTCAGCGCCTCCGGGCTCTCCTTTCTCTCGAGCCCACAGAACGCGCCACTCCGCAAGTTTAGCGGGAGAAGCGCGAACTTCTTCTCCACGCCCACCTTTTGCTAGCGGGCAAGCGAAGGTCGGCGGCGCCGGTGGCCATCACGGCTGGCACCCACCTAGTTTCCCATGAAGGGGCCGGGCAACCATGCACACTTCACGGCGCCTACGGTCGCAGGGTCAAGTTAGCACTCCTGGTATCCAGAGTGAGAGAGAGAGACCCGTTTCACGAGGAAGCAGAGAGACCGTTCGCTCGTTTGGCGCCAACACAGAGTAGCCCCTGCTTATGCCGCGTCTCCCTCGCGCGCACCTCCTCTCCTCGCAAACACCTCACAGCGGCCCCTGAGGCGAGCCACAAAATGGTGCCGCCCTCCCCACCAGGGAAGAAGGACAAGGGACATAGAAAGGGGGGAGGGGTGTCTGCTGCCCCTGAGGAAGCTGCCGGCCGAAGCCGCCGCCTCACCTTCGACGTTTTTCCACCCCTCCCTTCCGCCCTCCTGGTCACACTTCGCCCTGACCGGCTCCTCCTCGGAGCACACGCCGAATTATCTTTCTCTCTGCGTGTGCCTGCTTCGTTTTGTGCCCTCCTTCCCCCTCAGAGCCGTCTTTGGTGTTGTTTTTCCCCCCTGACAGGCAACCCACATGGCCCAAAGCCGCGCCTCACCCAGCTCCCACTTCCCTGTCGCCTTCCCTCTCCTGCAGACGCTCATCCGTCCCCGCTTCCTTCCTCTATTCTGGGCTTCCTCGCGGCTGGCACGAGCCGGACCTCTCCTCAGACTCACCGAAGCCCCTTCCACTCTCTCCCCGGCCGCCGTCCTTCTCTCTCTCTCTCTCTCTCTCTCTCTGCCTCCTTCCTCTCTCTCTTCAAACCCCCCGCCGAGGCCTTTCCCCCTTCGCTTTCCCACCCACGCCGCGGACTCTCCGCAGGAAACTCCTCACATTCGCCCGCCAACGCGGCTGGCCCTGTTACCGTCATTCCCGCCCGCGCGCCCAGAGGAGGCCGAGAGGGGACTCGGCTCCGAGCAGCCGCTTCGCCCTCGTGACACATTTCCTCTCAGCCGCCCCTGAAGCGCTGGCTCACAAACCCGCGGCCGCCCCGGCTCGGCGGGACTCCCGCCCGCGCGGCACGAGGGGCGCCCGCCGATCCAGGACGCGGGGGATGGCGCTGCGCCAGTGGCTAGACGCCTCCGCCGCGGCTCTTGGGCGCGTTTTCTCGGGCTAGCCCTAGGAAAAGGTGCCCCGGCGAGGATCGCGGCGCGCGTTGGCGCAGCTGCGCTCAAACAGTACTATTTGGCCCCCTCGCCGACTTGGAAGCAGTCAAAAGCTTCTAAAGCACTCAGCGCAATGCTTTGGGCTCCCACGGGGTGCGAGGCCACTGGCGCCCCCTTGGGGGCGTGATTTCCGAGTCAACGTGCATAGGATCGGCCTGCTCCAGCGCAATCCTGTGCCCATTTATTGGGCAGTAAGTCGCGCGCAGGGTTTGTTTAAAACTTTAAGCAGCTCCCTAGTAAATGTGTGTAGGATCGCAGCCTGCGAGTCAGTGTCTTCGAGCTTCGCGGGCATTGCTGTCAACTTTTTTCTTGCGAGGAATCCTATTCGGAATAAGGGAATTTCCCTTACAAAAAAGGAAAAGGTTGACAGCTATGTTCGCGGGGCTTGCGAGTGAACCCAGAATCAAAGAGTTGGAAGGGAGCTTGAGGATCATCTAGTCCAACCCCCTGCGAGGCAGGAATATGCAGCTGTCCCATACCCGCGATCTTGGTATTATCAGCACCATGCTCTAACCAAACGGAGCTGCCCAGTGGTAAGAGGATCGCGCGGCTAGGCTGCTACTGCCGGACATCTTCCAAACACGCTGAAAATCGATGGGAGTTGTTTCGACATTGAAATACATTGTGGGTATTAAGTAACCAATCAAGGCAGGATCTGCAGAAATTCTGGTGCTGCGATTGAAGACATCAAGCCTTTGCTACTGCCCTTAAGCAACGAGGTCTTCTCACCCCAAAGCAGGTTTTCACCCATAGAGATCAACGGTAAACAAGCACACCTGCACAAATTCTACACTAACGAATATCCCAAAGGGCGATTACCGAAGCAAAGCCTTGTCAGCGGCAGAGAAAGTGCTTTGAAAAGCCACGCATGCACATCCCCCCCCAAAAAAAATAAGACGATCGGTATGTATATAAACATTATTTACACCAAAACACAAGCATACTTACTGAACCACGAAGCTAAGCACTATAAATAAACGCTGCGCACACCGCAGTGCTTACGTGTGGGCCGCAGGAGACTTACACAAGGAAAGTCACAAACCCAGACTCACTTTCAGTGCCATTGGACTCAATGGGGCTTCCTTCTGGAACTGCACTGCTGGTGGAGGGTGCAATGCCTTACAGAGATCGGCGGCTACATTTAATTATCTACATGCAAATAAATATTATTACCAACGGGTGGATGCTGCCTTCCTATGGGGAAGCAGAGGTGGTTGAAGTTTAAAAAGGGAATATAGAATGTATAGTAAAAGTGAATGTATTCTATTAAGCAGAGGCATTCATTGAATTGGAATAAATGGGTAATCATAGACCCCCGGCGGAGGCAGGATTGTATTTGCGCACATCCATCACTTGCTCTCGCTCTCCCTTCCCTCCTGCTCTTGTCCTCCCGCCTCCCGTCGAAATTTCGACGGGAAGCTCCCGGCAAAGTGCCTGGACAGGGGTTCATGCCCTTCTATAAACTAAAATCTCGTAGGTTGAAATGCATATGAGCTACAGGGCTAGTTATGCGCTAAGTATCATCTGGTCTCCCGCTTCTTTCATTCTCCAGGCCCTTTTCCCGGGAGACCTGGCGCTTGCTGCGCCCCCCACCCCATCCCCAAAACAAGAATACCTCCTCTTCATTCCTGCATTGCAGGGGGGTTGGGCTAGATGGCCCTTGAGGTCCCTTCCAACTCTTCCATGGTTCTATGAACTGTTTGCTTTCCCTCTCCAAACGGTGGCCATTCCCACGAGATGACCGAGACCCGCATATACTTTCTCCCTCCCTCGCATCCTTCCTTGAGCTTTGCACAACCCACATTCTGCTTTCAGAGAACCCGAGTCCCCAAATTCGGGGGGGGTGGGTTCCTTTTTCCGTCTCCTCTTCAAAGCTGGCAAAAAAAAAGTTGAAATTCAACAGCTGCCTCGATTGGTCTCAGAATATACTTTGGTTCTCTTGTGCTGCGGGCAAAGTTTGTACTCGACCTGAAGTCGTAGTCAAGCCTTAAACTGCTCCCGTTCCTCTTTCAACCTTAGAATCACAGAATTGTGGAGTTGGGAAGCGACCCCAGAGGGATATCTAGTCCAGCCCCTTGCAAATGCAGGAATCTTTCCGAACTCGAACCCACGACCGCGAGATGGAGAGTTCAGTGCTCTAACGACTGAGCTGTCCCAGTCACTTCTGTTGCTTGTTCTGTCGTGGCCCAGGAGGCTGCGGTCTACATGGCTGCCTCCTGTGAACCAACACACCCAACACACCTTTTTAGTACGTTTCTCAGAAGACTTGGGGTTCAACCGACTGCACCCATCAGTTATGCATAAAGAGAGTAGAACCTCAGAGTAAGCCGTGCAGGATCAGACCCAAAGTCGGCACGGTATCCTGCCTCCCACAGCAGCTATCCACACACTTGCAGGAAGCACAAAAGGGAGGCATGAATGCAACGAGGAAAGGGCCATAGATCAGTGGAAGAGTGCGCAGAATCACAGAATTGGAAGGGACCTCAGGGGGCATCTAGTCCAACCCCCCCAGTAATGCATGATTACCAGTTCGAATCCCCTGGTAAGATGCAAAAGGACCCTGCCTAAAACAATGAGGAGAGGAGGAGGGGGATCTACCTCCGGTTGGTAGAGCATTGCGACTCTTCATCTCAGGGATCGTGGGTTTGAGCCCCACTAGGGGTGAAATGTGCCTGCATTGCAGTGGGTTGGACTAGATGATCCTCGCTCGGGGTCCCTCCCAACGCTGCAATCCTGAGACTCTGTGACTTGTGCTATTGGGAGCTGGAGTCCAGCAACATCCGGATCGTGCCCCAGTGAGTTAGATGGACTACTGGTCTGACTCGGTATAAGCCAGCTTCCTAGAAACCTCCCCTGCTGCTCGCCCTCTTGCAGCCAGATACATTGCCTCTGATCCCGGAGGCTCTATCTAGCTTTAGGAGAGGATAGCTAAATGAATACTTGCCTGCCTGCCTTCATATCACCGTAACTTACGTTGCCTATAGCTTCTCCCAACAATAGCTTCAGTTACCTTCCTCTAGGGTTCACCCACCCCATATGGCAGCTCACCCATATGCGAATGGGTCTGGGGGCTGGAGGGACAGCGCCCCTTCCAACAAATTTTCCACTCTTCCAGCTGCGCGAGACCCCTACCGATGTCTTAATCATCTAAAGCAATCAAGCGAAATATAGATATATTCGAATACTATTTACCCACCCACCACTGCTGCTGCTGATCTAAAGAGCATGATTAGCTTGATATGAGAGTAAATAGGAAGGTCCTCAAAGTTACCAGGGTCTTAAATGCAGAGTCTGAGAATCAAAGGACAGTTCTGGAATCACTGGATCTCCATTAAGATGGGGCAGCAGCGTCGAAGTCTGTCCTAGCAAAGACAAAAACCTCCTACCACCTCCGAGGTGAGCTCTTAGGACGAAGAGCGGTTTAGAAATCTAATAAATAAAAACAAAATAATTTTTTTAATTTGTTCTCGTGCGTTTTCCTGGGCCAGAAAGCAGCTCTGGTCCAGGGAAGCTCGCGATGACCAATCACACCTGTTCCCCTCTAAAGCATCACCAAGTTGATTTTTTTTTAAAGCACTTCTGAAAGACTGCAGCGTCAGAAGAGAAACTGTCCCCTACAGAGACCAGTACCAGGCTTTTCCTTACTGAATTGGTCTAAACTTGCAGCAAGCTTTGGGGGAGCACATCATTTTCCTTTCCCTTCCG